TTAACAGAAGGAATTCTTGTAAATCGGAGTTAAAGTTTAAAAATACTTGCGATTGTGGAATTCTCCAGTATTTGCATTGCCTGCTTCTTATTCAAATGTAGATCAAAACATTAATTGCAGGTGTGGACGTGGCTCCTTGTTCTGCAAAAAACAGATGCATCCCGAGAGCGGAGTGTGTCGAGCTACAGGGGGGCTCACACCTTTCAAGCCCCAGAAATTGCTCCTGGGGGCTTAAGGGAACTCTACCCACGCTCTCCTCCCCCTCTTTTCCCGAGGGGAGAGTTTTCAGGCTGTCAGACAGTTGATGTACGCTGTTCTGGCAGCTAAACGCAATCTCGGGGCTGGAACATCCTAGAGAGATGTCCGTCAGAGCTTACGTTGCCACCAGAAGCCCATGGTCAGAGAAAACAACCCACTTGAACTGATCAGATAGTTAACATTTTCAGTCAGAGGTTTGGAAGATTCTGTTAATGTTACAGTAAAGCAGATTTAGTTCATCTAATCATGTTCCTTTTGGGATTACTGACAATAATTACCTATCCTTGAGAAAGAATCAGCACTGAGATATGAATTGTTTCAAATATTAGATGTTGACAAAATAAACATTAAATCTGTATTTTATTATATATCTAATAATATGTTTACATCAGCAGTCTTCAAAACAGACAGGAGCATCAGCAGCTTATCCTTTGACATCCCCTCCCACATCCTATCACAACACTGTTACTCCTTCACCTTCAATGATGCTCACCCAGTCACCAGGTAAAATGGCTTTTTGGATTGGCTGGATTTGTGTAATCACAGCTTTGTTAATTAAGCTACAGGATCAGTGAACAAAGATATTGTAGTTACTAAAAATGTTTTAGCTGTTCGTTAAACCCAATGTAGATTATTAGACAGTTATTATCGTCCTATCACAGCTTTTGCCAATAGTATTGAATGACTTTTCCCCTTCTTACAGTCAGCTAATGAAAAATGCCATATTCTCTGCTTATATAAATTATTATCTCTTCACATATTTGTATACTCAAAGTTTAAAAGGAGTATTTATAAAAAATAATAGCTTATTATTTGTATATTATATTTAGGAACTTTACATGCTTCAAATTCTCCGAGTGGAGCATTAAGAGCACCATCACCAGCATCATTTGGCCCAACTCCTTCTCCTTCATCACTTGGAATCACAATGGGACAAAATGCAAACTTTGCCAGCCCCCACGGTAAGCCCATTATCTCTTTGAATAGATATTGATCAAAAGTTGATACTTCAGATGTCACCAAATGAACTACATTATTCTTTGTTGTCTGGAATTCAGATCTTGAAAATACACCAATGTATTCTCCATCACACTTGCCCAGGTTGTCTTGAGTAAAAAAATTGTTTTACCCAACTGTAAACATAAGCAAGGTATAAATTCTAGAAGTAGACTTTTCAAAGAGTTAGTTTCTAAATCTCTTGATTCAATATGAGTTCCCATCAAACTATAGAACACTTATATAGTGTCCGTATTTTTTGGAGTATAAGCCCCCACCCCCCGAGTATAAGATGCACCAAGATTTTGAAGAGGCAAATTAAAAAAAAAAGTTTTTGCACTCTGCCGACCTCTCAAAAATGGCCCGTTTCTCACGAAAACGGGCTTTTTTTTCAAAAAAAGGTCATGAATAGCCTTTAGGAGGCNGAGTATCTTTTTTCCTTCTAATAGTAGTTCAATTGCAATATATCTTCCTTGAGAGTCTGCTTCAATTAATTCAGCCTTTATGTCCCTTCTTAAATATATAACTATGCCATTTTTTTTCCCTCCGGGGCAGAAGCTACAAAATGTTGTCCCAATCTTGCATTCATCAAGGATTTCTGTTCATTTATTCTAATATGTGTTTCTTGTAGGCAAATTACATCGTTTTTAAAGTGTTTCAAATAGTGATATATTTTTCCCTTTTTTGTGGTGAGTTTAAACCATTGACATTCCAGGTTAAAAATTTAATTGTCATATTCAGCTCCCTGAAGCTTTTTAAGAGCCGCCTGAAAATCCTGTAATTTAATTTTCAGTCTAGTTCCTCCCACTGCTTCTGAATTGATGTTTATATTTTCTTGAGATTGTTTGGGCTTGTTGCATCTTTAATTCTTGTTCCTTGCGTTTGGTAGCCACTCGGGTTTGTCTTTGCTCCTTAATTCCTTCTGTCTCCATAAGAAGATTCAGAGCTTGGGCCACGTCCAATGATCCTTGGGTATCTTGCTGTCTGGCCTCTCCTACTTGTTCCCTTTCTCTGAATCCTGGAGATGGCGGGTAACCAGCCTTTAATACGTTGCTGTAAAAATCTCTGGCCTTCCAAACTGAGTTAAGATGGTGTCTTTGTCCCAAGTAATTCACCACTTATCCGGCTGGGACTTCCCATTTATATTGTATCTGCCGTTTTTTAAGTTCATCCACTAGAAATGCATAGTCTTTCCTAAACTTCAACATTTTTGGTGGAATTTCCTTCAAAACTATCACCTCTTGACCTGCAATCTGCAATTTAGTTTTATAGGACTCTTATAATATCAGGTTCCTTGTATTCCTAGTAGCAAAGTAGACTACAATATCTCTTGGTAATTGTTTCTGTCTGGCAATCCATGAATTAACACTGTATATTTTGTCCATTTGCCAGTCATACCCAGCTCTCGGTTGACCAATAAATTGGTCAAAGGCTTCTGCAAGAATTTCCTTCAGATTTTCTTGGTTATTCTCTTTGAGGCCTCTTATTCTCAAAGCAAATTCCATCGCTTTGTATTGTATCATTGTAATTTCTGCTTCTGATTTATCAGCCTTGTTTTGAACTTCTTCAACTTTGCTTTCTAAATTGACATTGGACTGGTTAATTTCTTCCACTCTATCAGGCAATGAGGATACATAGCCAGCCAAACCTTTAAAGGCTTCCACTATATCCTGTCTTATTTGCTGGTTACGAATCTGAATTAGCTCCTTGATGCCAGATATTTCCTCCGAAATCTCCTTAAAGGCAGATGTAATTTTTTCATTTATTTTGAGTTCTATAGCTGCAGCCTATTCCTTTAAAGCGTCTTTTAAGGCTCCTTGCAGCACATCAAGAGTTAAAGCCTTAGCAGCAGAGGGAGGTAAAAGTGACTGTAATTTATTAGTCGGGGCTGGAGAACTGCCAGCGTTCTTTGAAGTGGTTGTTGTTGTTCTAACTTGTTTTGAAGCCATTTCAACTATTCAATTAAACTTATCTTCCGCCAAATTGTTAAGTCCAAACAAACCACTTAGTCCGATTATTAAATCTTGTAGCTTATTAGTAAGTCAATGCTGTTTTGAGTGGTCTTAAACTCTTAGTTCTTTTAACTATGTTAGAAAGCACTTAAGATGTAATTGCTTGTTAAGTTTCGATTCAGCCACACCTTCAATATTCGGGCACCATTTTCACTTCAATCTTGTTAGTTTTAACAGAAGGAGTTTTTGTAAAACGGAGTTAAAGTTTTAAAATACCTGCAATTGTGAAACTCTCCAGTATTTGCTCTGCCTGCTTCTTACTCAAATGTAGATCAAACATTGATTGCAGGGGTGGTCGTGGCTCTTTGATCTGTGGAAAGCAGAGCATCCTGAGAGCGGAGTGTGTCGAGCTACAGGGGGGCTCACACCTTCCAAACCCTAGAATTTACTCCTGGGGGGGGTGTTAAGGAACTCTACCCATGCTTGGCAGCTCTCCACTTTCCTCTTCACCCAAGGAAAGAGTTTTCAACCTGCC